TAATCTTTCGCCCGCCTGCCGTCATGCTTGCCATCTTAAAAGTCTCAGGACGAATGGAGTTTTCTACCTTGGGGAACACAAAGGCACATAGCCAAATTGATAAGAATGCCGCTACATATGTTTCATCTTTCTTGTCAGACCTCACCCTAAGCTTAGAGAATATAGTTTCTTTATCACTCGACCACCTCGTCGTCTCGGGAATAACTCCGTTAGGATTATGTGTTGACTTTAGGCGTGCAGATTTCTTTTCCTTTCGCAACGAGGCAGGTCTATATATTAAAGTTTTTTTATACCAAAAACTTGTCCACTTGCTGAAGGAGACCTTTTGGGTAGCACCCGTACCTTCCTTAAGATGATGAAATGCGGCAAGTAAATACTCGCAAGATCGAGGAATAAATCTGACTTATTTTTCATTCAAACCGATGAGTTCTCTTGTCTCAGGTTCCACTTCTTCGTACGGAGAACCCGCAATGGGCAAACCCCCAAGGATATGTAAGTCCCAAAGAGATATAGATAGCTCCCCAGCTGATGTAAGAAGTGTGTTCGTCTTGGGGCACCAAGCCTCACAAAATGCTTGCAAAATGTTCGAGTTTCGATCATAAGTGAAAAGTGAGGCATAGACAGCATCGTAAATCTTTGTTGTACTCAGAGTTTGTTGGCTTCCACCAAGTACGTCTTCAGCCCATTCCCAATATCCTGGGATATGACGATACTCGCCCTCGATTGTTGTTGTGTTTCCCCAATGTACTTCGCCTTGAATTATGCGACTTCCTAAGATTTGAAGGGTGCTAGCAATATTTACATGGTGATGGATTGGCGCTTGGAGAGACCACATCTTGGATAATGGATTAGAAATCGATTTGTGTTCCAAGGTCCAAGTTCTCTACATGAAGGGAGTTCCTTAGAGGAGGCCATGAGGCTGCATATCGGCCGGCTTGTGAGGTGTGAACCAAAAGCTTGGTTTGTTCTATGCCATCTTCAGTCTCGATGATGAGATATCTAAGTTTTGAGGAAGGTGAGGTATAGTCCCTGAAATTTGCCATCTCTTCGCGCTAAAAAAAGAGAGAAAGAAAAGAGGGGTCATCAAAGTCCAAATCAAGAATATTAGAATCGGTACAAAGGTCTAAATGGATGAAATGTTCTCCGGTAGTCGGGCCACATTGAGAGTAATCTCTCTGGTAGTCGGGCCATTTTGAGAGTAATCTCTCCAAGAATTGGGCCACATTGAGAGTAATCTCTCCAAGAATCGGGCCATTTTGAGAGTAATCTCTCCAAGAATTGGGCCACATTGAGAGTAATCTCTCCAAGAATCGGGCCATGAAAGTAATCCCTCCGATATTTGGGCAGAGATAAGTACCCATCCCCTCACACCCTAAGATTGTCTTCATCGTGCATGGATTATCTTGTTGAAAAAGAACATATCTTTCTTGCTTGACCTACAAAAAGAAAAAAAGGACAACAAAGAAGAAAAGCACAAGAAAAGAAGAAGAAATTACCTTCTCTTCCGTGTCCACGAAACTAGACTCAAATAGATTGCAAATATGCGAATTGATACTGAACAAAGATGAAGCGCATGGAATTTATTTAGAATTCTCAAAGTGGCTGCTGGAAATTAATTCCCGATGTGGGACGTTGCAACAATATGTCTTCGAAAAGGACTCGGATAGTTGAAAGGCGGCAGTAAGAGTTTGTCATAAACAAGAATTCGGTAGCAATCTTTAAAGACAAATATCCTTGGTCAACTCCTAAAGGGATTTGGATAAGTGTTAGCATGGTAAAGCAAGCTTGAAATAGCTTGGAATTGAGTTACGTGAAAACTTCTTAAGGACAACTAAATTGCATTGATTATCGATTGAGTATAAATTTTCAAAGTCAAAGGAGACATAAGCAAACCATCACAAATCTCACATGACTGAAGATTAGTGTTTCACGTATTTGGTATTCGTAAAATGATTTGGCTTGAGTCTTACGAGAAGGAATGATGTTCCGATATTACTTCAATCCGTGTCTTCGAAATTCATCAAAAAATGTATATTTTGTCAAGTCTTGAAGTAGGGACATTTGTAGGCATATAAATTTTATATCTATAAAAGAATTTGGACTATATTTTAAATTCAAGATATATTGGTCCAATAAATACTACGGGCTAATATAATTGAATTAATTATATAAGTCCAATATATATGGATTAAATAAATAAGTTTTATTTCATTGGGCTAGCCCATTTAATTCGGCTAAAGTGATGAGTCCAATTTATTAGGCTCAAGATGTCATCTTCCTAGAGGCCCAATTTGGTGCCACGTGTCAAATGACGCGACGTGCCAAGTCAAACGGAAGAGCCAATGGGATCATGCCACGCGTCAAACTGACAAGGCATGCCAAGTCACACTAAAAGGCCAATCAAATCGCGCCACGTGTGCAAGTGACATGTTCTGGCCAATCAAATGCGGCCATGTCACACTTCAATTTGATTGGTCGAAAAGAGTTTGTTCTTATCACAACTCTTCCCTTCCACAACTATAAATAGGGGTCTTCATAACTCAGAAAGGACACCAGAAGTTATAACAAGAAGCAAGAGAGAGCTCGTGGATCAAACACCGCAAATTTCTCTACAAGTTTCAAGCTTCAAGCAATCAAATTCAAGTTCAAGAAATAAAGTTCAAGCTCAAGAACGAAGAACGAATCAAGATCAAGTTCAAGCAATCAAGCTCACGAACAAGATCATCGTTCGTGAAAACAAATATAGATTCAAGATCAAGCTCAAAGGCCCTTGAATTTATTTACTATTGGAAAGAAGAATCAGAGGATTCATAGAGATTGTAACACTCAAATATTCGAAATAAAATACTACGATTGTTGCGATATTTTTCGGTCTTGATTTTATTTTCTCGACTCAAATTTATTGTCTATAATGGTATTCGGTATTCTTATTAAATTTTTTTTTGATAATTAGAAAATTTTATTAGTCATGAAGAATGGATTTACTAAACAAGCAGACTCACTCAATCTGCTACTCTAAATAAAAAACTAGTAACAAATACATCATTTTCAACTCATTTTTTACTACTCTCTTTGCTCGAACTTGGAGGTTCTCTTTCTGCTGAAAAATTAAAGTTTATGTATGGCATCCAAAAGTGTGACCTAGCGGCCGATGCAGCTGAAATAAAGATCATGGGAAAGTAGAGTAAGAATTTCGGTAGAAACATAAAACTAGGTGACTTCTTTCCATATGCATAAAACAAAACAGTACTTGCCGATGATTTACTAACATGTATGAAAAAAATTCTGGTAAGGTACTTTTTTTTGCTCGATCTTACGCAACACAAGTTTATTAGTTGGGACTTCAATGCGGATACCCGAATAGAAAACCAATAAAAAGTATTTATCACAAAGTTTTATTTGTATTTATATTTATTTTATAAATATTTTTCTCTCGTCAAAAGTCAAATTTTAGTCAATTTTTTAATTTTTATATTTTCTCATTCTTAATTTTTTAGGCTCAAACCTTTTAAATTTCATTTTCTCAAGTAAACCCAACTTCTCAGAAGGAATTTGACTGTGGGCGCGTTTTCACTCTTTCTATTTTTATTACGTTAGAAAAAAATAAACCCTGGCGAAAAATTGAAGCGCGTTCAAAGCTTTGAACAAGGAGAGCAAAAGCTTGCACTGTTCTAGAATCTTCCCATGGAAGAACAAGCGAAAGGGACGGTGACGTCACTTTCGTCATTGTTTCCGGCGGAAGAAGCCCAGAAAGCATCGAAGCGCGTGCAGGACACGATTGCCGACCGGCAGAAACAGCTGGACCTGCTCCGAGATTTCGCCGCGGACAACAATAACCTTATTAACCTTGTTCAGAGATTGCCTGATCAGCTTCACCACGATATCATGGTAATTTTCTTATACCTTTTCCCTTTAATGTTGATAGTGTTATGATTTTTACAGTATCAGGTTGCTTTGGTATGTTGTAGCAGGTAATCTCCTTTATCTCGAAACTTACAAATGCCATTGTTTTAGAAGGATTTACCGGTGGATATTTATTTGTTGACTTGATAGATTGAAAATTCTCCTTATCAAAGAGAAGCTTTTTCCTATACATAGTGGCAAGCAGTGGCGGAAGCACAATTTTTCACCAAGGGAACTCAAAAAATAAAAAATATAAACACACAAAGAAGCTAAGTGAGTCAACACCTAATATATATACATGAAAAAGAAAAATAAACCTTATATATATAGTGTAGTTTTCGACGAAGGGACCGAACCCCTTCCGCCCACCTAGCTCCGCCCCTGGTGGCAAGTCTATTGTTGTGTTTCGGAATTAGGGGAAACAAAGCTTCAACAAGTAGAAGCTTCCTTGAAAAGCTTCGAACCAAGAGGTAGGCTGTTCACTTCACTGATTTGACTTTACTTTACTTAAGATTGAAGACAGGGGTTGTGCCGGTGTGTATTAGTTCAACTCCAGGTCCATTTAACTTATACACAATGACAGTTTTAAAAGAATTTTACACTATCTGGTCGCTTTTGCATGTTGTAAGCAGGTAATACGACTTAATCTGTCTTATTTTTAAGATTACAAATTTCACTTTTAAGTTTTAAGAAGCTCTACTTATATAGAGTAAAATAACACTTAGGTGTATATAAGTTACTCTTATATATATATATGATTAATGTACTGTTTTCTTACGAATTTTCAGGTCCCTTTTGGAAAAGCAGCATTTTTTCCCGGTCGTTTGATTCACACCAATGAATTTCTGGTAAAATTCTTCAATAATTTCATGATGGTGCAGACCTTTTATCTTTTTCTTGTGTCATATTTTCCCCAGTACTTTGAATTTGCTCAACTTTGTCCTTTGTTTCACTTTTGGTCCATTTATACCCGTCGTTAGGCAAAAGTCCTGTACTTGCCCTTGAACTCTAACGGAGCTCCAACCTTAAGGTAATTTTTTAAACCATTAGTCCAAAGTATAGGGATAAACTTGGACTTTTTTTCTCGTGCATATATGGACATGTGGGGTCCGCCTATCTTACATTGGAGCTCTGTTAGGGGACAAGGGCAAAAACAGTACATTCCTAACAGTGGGGATATGATTGGACCAAAAGTGAAACAGAGGGTAAATTTGAGCAATTTCGAGTTGTACTGGGGAAAATTTGGACCTTTTGTATTGATATTAGAGCTTCTAGCTATTTGAGCTTCACGAAGCATAGGTGAAGGAATGCAGTAGGTTTGCGGCAGTGTAAATTGTTAGCTATATGATAAATAATCTGACTGGACCCTAATAGAGCAGAATAGGTTTAGTGGATTCATATAGCAGACCCCAAATTATTTGGGATTGAGCTCTAGTTAAAGATATTGAATTAGAGCTGCTGAACTTTGATTTATGTCTGAGTTTATGACATTTAACATATGCCGATGCACACAATGGTTTAAACTAGTGATGCTTTTTTATTTTGAGGAAAAAAAGGTTGCTAAAAGAAGTCGAATACCAAGATTTCGCTTAGCATGCTTATCTAATTTCAGATTAGTTAATCTGGTTTTATTTGGAATCCAAGGAGACATATAACTTTGCCTTCCTCCTTCTTTCTTGATTTAAAATGTTCCTGTGAATTGCCTTTCTTGATAAAAAAGAAGCCATTTCTTGTTGTTGAATTCCCCGGTAGTCATATTTTTGAGTTTCTGTGTAGGGTTATTTTTCTTACAACTGTCCATTTTGATAGTTTGCTGCTTTTCTGGCGTAAGGTTCTATTGGGAGAGGGTTATTACGCAGAAAGGACATCCAAGCAAACGACTGAGTTACTGAAAAGAAGAGGGAAGGATTTGGAGTCCCAAGTGGAATCTGTAAAGGCTGTGATACAAGACCTTAAGGCCGAGGCTTCATTTTTTGATGCTACAGCTTCTGAGGCTGCGGTATGCCTGTTTGTTCAGTCATTGGATGTTTGAATGCTTTCATATTACTTATCTTAAATGGTTAAGTTAGCAATTTGTGATAATAAAACCACAGTGCTTATTAGTTGCAGAGAAGCTCGTTTTGTGACGGTAAGCTAATATAACATCAACGGAGTTCAACTTGAGTTTGACTGATGCTTTAGTCAGACTAATATAGCAACTAACTGACAATCTAGCTCTTCCAGCTGCTTGAGTTTCTAATAATTTCCTGGGGAGAGATCGTAGTAGCTAGCAACATGCCTTTGCCCCCACCTTCGCTCCTATTTGCTAGCCTCTGGAAAGAAATAGGAATTTCTTAGTTGGGTTAAAGTTTTCAAAAGATTGTTGTTCATTTACCAGCAGTGGAAAATTTTCAATCATCATTAGTTTAATATGGATGACCTCTGCCTGGCTAATGTGTGAAATTTTAGCCTTTTTTTATATGGTGGTGTCTGGGTCAGCTTGGACGCAACTCGACTATGTACCTAACTACCTCCTGGAAGGCTAGAACCAATATTTGTGTGCGTATTGAAATGCATTTGCATGTGAGCACCACATCTGTATTAGTGGGTATATTTTGTTTGGCAGTAAAAACTTTGCTTATTTATATCTTTTTTCAGATATTGATTGCTTGTTATGTACAAATTTATGAATTTGATGGCGAACTGAACTTTTGACAGGAAGGTCTTGTAGAGATCAGAGAAGACTATGCTGAGGAAACTTCTCCTGAAGGACCATCCACAGTTGGCATGTTTCCACCTCTTACTGATTTCTAGGCTACATTTAAAGATTTTTAATATAGTCATATTCCAGTTTCTGTTTGAAATATTGACAAAAATTTGCACTGGTTGATTTTCCAGGCATCCTGAAACCTGAGCTTCCAATTTCTTCTGAAGGAGACAATGCTGAACTTGCAGTTGAAAATGAGGAATATGCTCGCATTTTATCCCGGATTGCCGAGCTTGAGAAGGAAGAAGAAGAGGCTGAAAATGCCGAACTAGAGAAGGAAGAAGAAGAAGCTGAAATTGACAATAAATTCAATGAAGAGCTGGGTAAATCTGGATTAGATGTCAGCACAGGTCAACACATTCGGGACCAAGAAATAAACGATTCCGGAGTAGGTTGCTGGTCATTGACTTGAGATGCAAAGATTGAATTATGGAATGCTTAAATGCATATTATCATTGTTGTTGCTAAATGCCATTTGGTATACTATTTAGGTGCGTGGTTCTAGTAATCTCAAGGAAAGAGCAGCATCTTCAAGAAATCGCTCCATTGAAAGTTTTCCTGAGCAGCTGCACGTACGAACCCTTCCCTCCTTTGGAACATATATTCCAGAATTAAATAATTGTCAATTAGCTGTTTTTGTTAATCCCTACAATGTATGAATAATTCTTTTCTTTTTAATCCATGTGAAATTTTGAAATGCAGGTTGAAAGTTCAAAATCAGTAACTAAAGGTAAGCCCTTCCCACGAATTTTTTTGTTAAACTATCTGTGTTCATGTGCCTGCTTCCTGCTGGATTTTTGCAAATCTACTTGGATAGCATGATAGAAATATGCAGGTGATTCGCTTCATTCTGATACTTTATGTTACATTCAAGAACCTTTCTGGAAATTTGTCATAGTAAATGATAAAATCTTCCAAACTAACAAGCCTTCTGAACATAGTATTAACTTTGTCCTTCGACTACTCTCTGCTAATGAGGCCCGTAATATTGGTGCTTTATCTGTTTTCTCTAGTGATATCCTGTACAATATTTTTATCGTGAGTAACATTCTGCATTGAGAGATGAAACCAAAAGAAGCGTGATTTATTTTCTTTTTCATGTCTCATTTATAGTTATCGATAACCATTATTTTCATTGAACATCTAAAATAAGTCCGAGGAGGCTTGAAGCTATCCTTATTTCAGAACTCTTCATCTTTTGTTTATCTTAGTGGAATCGGTTTCTAATGAAGCACGTTGAAGTGAAAGTTTCACGGGAGGAACAAATAAATTGGAAATGACATTGTAACTCGATAGATTTCTGCTTGACCTTCTTCCCATTGCCTGCAAATGCATTTTGATCTTTTTAGATCTCCATATTATAGTTAAATCGAAACTTCAATATATGTTAATCATGTCCGTATGTTATACAGTGCATGCTTTATGTGCTTACATTTGCTTTTCCATTTCATTTTGAAATGATTTTATGCATTAAACCAGATGAATGCTTAGCTGGGAGCCTAGCTTCTGACAAGTCCAATGTTACTGAGAATGCTCCAAAACAGAATCGAAAGGAGGATACTAATGTTCCTATGATAGCTGAAAATAAGGTACGGTTCTCTCCATTTAGTTCACTCTTACCCAGCATGAGCCCATTTGTGTTTCTCTCCACGACTCCAACCCCACCTCTCTCTCTTATTCTCTGCTCTTCCCTCTTCTATTTTATCTTTTTCCGTGTTGGGAGACAAAGCATGGGTCAATCACATTAAATGAGAACAATTGCGTTTCTATTTTATGTTACCCCTTAAATAGTAAATGACGTCTTGGTTTGTTCATGTTGTCTGTTAGTGCCCTTGTGCTCAGTCTTTCACTACGGTGCACATCCGTTTGTGTATTCATGTCGTATACGAAAATAGTGGTCGAAGCATATATTCTTTGTTGTGGCAGTTGGAGGAAAGGAAAATAGACCTACATTTTTCATTTGATTACTTATGTCTAGGGGTGGCGAAATGGTTAAAAGAAAACAGTTAACCACCCATATTATCCACTAAAAAATGGGTTGGATAATGAACTTTTTAAAAACGGGTCAAATATGGATAAGAACCATATTATCCATTTAGAAAATGGATAATCAATGGGTAACCAATGGATAACCAATGAGTTTAACTTTTACATTTGTAAAGCCTCAAATTGGGGGTTCCTCAAGTTAGGGAGACTAAGAATTCTCCTTAAAGTGATCATATGCAAGAAGTCATGGATAATATGGTTACCTATATTATCCGCCGGTTGACCCGTTTTTTATCCGTATTAAATATGGGTCGGGTCGGATAATTTGCCCGTTTTTTTCATTACCCGTTTTCGACCTGAACCATATCCGCCCCGCCCCGCCCGTTTGCCACTCCTACTTATATCCATCAAAAATATCATTATCGCATGGCACCGACGTCATTTTGCACGACAATCATTGCATTATTGATCGTTTTGCTGGTAGCTGCTCTGATTCAATTTATTGGAGTATTCTTATATTGCTCCGTTACAAGACAGTTGATGCATGTTTTGCCTTTTATTAGACTTATTAGGAATATGATTTAAATGCTTTGCCTGTATGCCTTTTTCCTGTACCTTCTAACCAGAAGTAAGCTACATTCCTGCACAATTATTACTTTTTACTCAGTATTAGCCGATAATACCACTGTGCAGGCTTTTACTGGAAGTATTGTTGAACGCGCTGGTGCCTTTGATATCAAGCCAAGCGAGCAGACTGTTGGTCGTAGCTCAAAGCCAGTATCAAGGTTCAAAATGCAGAGGAAATAGATGACATTCTTAGCACTTGAAAGTCAAGTGTGTAGTGATCTTCAGTGCTTTGTCTCGTAGATGAAAAAAGATGTCTATTTCGGTTGAGTGCTTGATTTTGGACATTCTAGGAGTTTTCTCTTGTCGAAAAATGCCGATGTTGTATTTTTGCAAGTTCAAAATTGACACTTTGAACTTCACAACATCAGTAGAAATGGTTAGTTTTACACCATCACGGGAGATACTTTAGAACATGATATTAAGGATTTGAACCTCATGGTTCTCGGTTTCGGGTCAAATAGGAAGAACGGGAAGATTTCACCTCAACTCATTTCATTGACCTCTAGATCACACCCTTAACTTAACTGTGTTAAAGAGGATAGGTTCGAGGAATGTATTCTCTAACTTTGATTAAAAAAATCTGTATCTCCACAAAATTTGGATCCATTAGTATCATTACTTTATTTTGTGTTTGTAACACCCAGAGTGTTATCGACCCTTATGTTTCAGGATTTTGTTGCCTACTAGTAGTACGTACTGTATTGATTACCAAGAAAATATTATCAGCAAAAGATAAATGAAAGAGTTGAGGGACATCTCTAAAAATATTATCAGCAAAAGAAAATATTCATTGGTTTTGTTGAGTTTTAAATTAGGTTGAGTTCAATTCTACTTAATCACAAATTCTAACCACAGATGCTCTCTCAAATATTCGCAAAAAATATGTGCTAGTTGAGGTTCGAACCTCTAACCTCTTGAATAAAAATCAAACACATAATCAATGCATCGGGAGGTAATTTGTACATGTCAAGTGGTGTCAGTTTTTCCTGGTGATATGTGTCCTCACAGTATTAATACATATATTTAGTAAAGTTTTCCGATGAAGCGGTGTCGCGTGATATCGCTTCGTTGAACGTGCATCCGCCCCTAATTGCATCGGAGCAGAGTTTACTCATGGTGCACCCGGCGAGCAGCAGCTGCGAGTTCCCTCGTTTAGAAGAAAAAAGACGCTGACAGAATATAAATTGCCAATGATATGAAAGTGTTAATTATAATAATATTCCAGGTCAAGAAAGGTATGTATAACTGATTCCTTAAATTTATTTGACGATGATTGAATTGTTTTCATAAATGAAAAAGGAGGAGTCTATAACGATGATTGAATCTTTTTCATATGGTTATTATTAGCTGTGGGAAAAAATAATTAAATCACGGATAGAAATTGAAATGCTATATAATCAAAATCCTGTTGAAAGATTCTATAGTTTTCGAAGTGTTTAAATCTGATTAACTAATCAAAATAAATTTCTATAAGTGTTATGAAACAATAAAAGAAAAAGAATAATATTGCAGAGAAAAGTAGAGGGAGAAAATTCTTATTGATTTTGGGATGAATTACAATGGAATAGAACCCTCTATTTATAGGGAGGGTGACTTAGCTACCAAGTAATAAATCCTATAATCTCTCTAAATATATACATTCATGTTACTCCCAAACGCACACGCAAGTATACGTGGTCGACAAGTAATATAAGATTGTAAGTCCAGATATCGTACCCACAGGGACTTGTGATTAACTATCAACTAAATTAAACCCAAACAATTAATCTATCCAAGCGAATTCTAACGTATGAATATTTAACTAAAATTAATCTAGAGTAACAAATTAAGAGATTAAAGAAAACAACTTGGCGAATTATAGAGACGAATTCAATTTGAGTGAATATTCTAGAGCTATAGGTTAGCTAACAATCCCGTTGAGTTTTCCACCTAAATCGTCTAATTAATTTATCTGGTTTATTGGTTGACAGGGTTAATATTGCTCGTAGCCTTCTCCCGAAGTACAACTCGCCTATTCAAGCTAACCTAACGCCTATATTCCTATGGAATTAGGACTAACAAGAACGCATTTATAATTCCCGTATAATAACCAAGCAAGACGGTTAGGTATATTCCTATCCTAACCGCAAATCCGCTCCCCCTAAGAGTTAAGATCTTGCTCTACTCAATCTTATATGCAATCTAGAATTCCCTCTCCCGAGTTCAATCCTAGATTCGTAGATAGTATTCAATTGGTGATCAAGCAATCAAATAATTAAGTGCAAGATTGAATAAATAAATCAATATGATAAAATAATAAAAACAATTCAAGCTTCAAACTACAACGTTCATGTAGCACCCAAAACTCTAGAACTAATAAACTATATAATCAAAGGAAGAGAAGAGAAGAAAAACTAGTTGGAAGCCTCCTCCAAGCGTGGTGTGTGTTCCCCCACGTGAATTCTCCTCCAAAGTATGTTAGATATCACCAAAGTGACGTCCCTCCCTCAAAAAATATGTTTAGTCTTGCTTTTATACATGTTGGATAGGTCTAGGGCCGAATAAACCGTGTCCCGGGCAAAATAGGACAAAATCCGCATCACCGGCGCCCAGCCCGGCCCCAGGCGCCCTCCACGGCGCCCTAATATTTTTAGCTACTGTTTTTGGCGCCACAGGTAGGGCAGGTGGCGCCCAAATTCGCAAGTTTCCCGGTTTCGTCCGTTTTGGCTCAAATCTTGCGCGTTTCGCCCCCAATTGCTCCCGAATCATTCCTACACATAAAAACACATCAAATCAGCATAAATCAACACATTTAACATCCCAAATTCACGAAACAAAAAGTAAAATATGAGATGATATACATAGAAATATATATACTTTAAGCTAAACATCAATTCACCATAAATAAAATTCTATTTATAACACTCCTCCTTGAATGTCTATTCAACAGATAATGTGCCTCGTTAAAACCTTAACTAAAATAAAACCCAGTGAAAAAAATTCTAGAAAGGAAAAAGAGTACACATATCTAACAATACGCCTTTTGGTTGCCTCGTCAAAACTTTGCAAGGAAAACCCAGTGGGACAAAACTTGTAAGGGAAAAAGAGTACAGCGCGTATTAACTCCCCCTGATGAGAGCATCAATTCACATCCTTGAGCCTTCGCATCCCAATCTTGTGCACCATCTTCAAAAGATCTTTGGTAGAGATTTGATAAACAAATCAGCCATATTAACTTGAACGAATTTGTTTCACCTTGAAATCATCATCCTTAATAGATGTATTGTCTTCATATGATCTTGTTGGAATCGTCAGTTCAATATCTTCACATAGAGGTGAAAACTCTTGCTATCATATTATCATGCCTATAATTATAGCAAGATACATTTGTACACAAATTGCACTGAGGAAGTGGTACTTCAAGATCAAGAATTGTATATGCTTCAAGCAATTTAAATCCTTCCTGGATTGTCATATAAGTTAAGTCATATAAGCCATATAGTAGACTTTAGATGCATATCAGGTTTTCATGTCATGCTAGACATATAAGATATCGAAAACTGATTGCACATACCATTGACTTTATACTTTCAAGTGTTTGAACTACATGTTCAAAACTACATGTCTTTCATATGAAACCAATTATACTTGAATTGTTTCCTAGACTTAAGATCCTCATATATATTTAGCGCTATCATATATGTCGTCGACGAACATTTAATATCGGTTCCAATATTTTTTTCATAAAGACATAACATAGAGATCTCTTCATTCATATATTCAGGTACCTGAATCTCTCATGAGATTTTATGAAGTGTTATGTCATGTGATCTTCTAGATCACTTGCCTCCTTTATTATGATTATTTTGATCATTTGCTCATCTTCTTTATCAAGAAGTTTATTTGAAACCGATTTGTCTATACGCTTTAAGCACACCATAGAGTTTGTCCTTCTAGGACTTAATAGGAGCATTTGCAATGAGAATATAGTTACTTTCTTTGGGTCAGCAAATGCGTCTGGCATGCTTTGCAATATATTGCAGATGAATTATCCTTTTATGAACTTCAAGTTCATATTATCTTATTCGAGGATCTAGATGTACAAATAATAATTCATTCCACGTAAATTTTTCTCAATTGTTTATCATGTCTCCCCCTCATGTTAGAAAAACTAACTTACTTCCTCAATTTTGGAAATCCACCTTTGTGCATTATGGTGTTAATCAAAATATACACCGCACATCAATAATAATAAGATGGTATTGTCTGACCTGACACTGTGAGGG